GGAGCAATTCGGGGTTCAGGATCTTGCTCAAGGATACTTCGACATGTGGCAGTAGGAGGCGGACAAACAACCTTCTGATTAGAGGACGACCCACTCTTCCTCTGAGCCACAGCCGCCCCTAAGGCACATGGTAGCATGTGGTACACAGGAAAAGACAGACGTTCATATGTGTTCCACCATCTCAGTGATTCATGTGTGTATCTACAAACTATTTGTCCAAATTCTTTTAGTGTCACAGCTCCCTCCCTATGTCTAATCTAACATCTGTCTCTATTTGGTCTGAAAGAAAAGAGATTCAATTTTGGTTTGATTTTTCACTCTTACTCTCCATGGTTCCCTTTGAGCTTTTATGGTCGGTATTATATAAGATAATATTAAATTATCATATTATATTATTACAGTTATGCAGTTGTTTTGGAAATACCAACGTATTTGGGGCATTCGGGGGCTTTTGGGGCATGCATCAAAGCATCAAAGTAATTATGTCATGACTTTTATTAGCCAATAGAGCCCCATTGTGAACCTGGAAATGTTGAGTACCTTAAAGTTTTATGTTGGAAAAATACAGTATGGGTCCCTAGATATTTCTTCAGTTCTGCCCGAGTTTTTTGCTGCGCAACTTAATTAATTAATTAACAAATCAACAGTTAATGTTATCACCAACAACTGCCCAAGTCCTGATTGCGCAGTAATCTACTAAAGGAGATCCCAATGGGGTAAAGTTGGCCAACCTATTGAATTCCATCCTCTTGTGTAGTAAAACTACCAAAGTGTCTAAAGGGGAGTTGAAAGAGGTTGGCCAAAGCGTGTCCGGTGCGAAGAGTTTTTATTACTAGTGGTCCGGGTTGGTACAGGAAAGAAACCCACTGGGAATAGTAGTAAAAGTGGAAATCCTGCAGACATAAGTATGCAGACCACAGAATGTAGGCAGAGCTTTACCAAGAAAATTTTACTGGATTTAAAATAAAATTTCTACACAGACTCAGTAAAATACCTCAACCCTGGTGTAATAAAATACTTGTCAGTGTCTTTCCTATTAGTACAAGGACTTGAGCGACCCCTAAGTGGCCCAGGCAGGGTTGGAGTTGAGAACGGGAAAGAAATGGAGAGAGGATGAAACAGTGCTAAGGGGATTTTTGGATACACCACAGAGTTCTGGTGGAAGCAGTGACGAGGGAAAGAGCTGGTCTGGGAACTACCTAGTACAAGGCCAAGGGGAATGGCGCAGGCTGGTCCAGGAGGAGGTGAGGGCAGCAGTGATGTAGGAGAGGTCCAGCAGAGCACTCAACATGAGGCAGCAGGGGGCCAACCAGGTTCTGAAACCATTTCCGAAACCATCATGGGAATCAGCAATGGCAGATAAGCATGTCCTACCACCCAGACAATTTTGTCCCACAGCAGCAAATAGTCCTAGAGACAGTGCAGTGGTGGCAGCTTTCAATGGACCTTGAGAAACAGCTTAAGTTTCCATCACACATCACCATGACCACCTTGAGGCCAGACATCATCCTGGTCTCAAATACAACAAAGAACATCATAATAATGGAGCTGACCATGCCAAAGGAGGATCGCGGCCCACAAGAGGAAGAAGGCAAAATATGAAGAGCTGGCTCTCTCCACAAAGCCTGGTGAGAAGTGGGCATCACCGGAAAGGGGCCAGAGCCTCGACCTGTTGGAGTTAGAGATAGATGGTGGTAGAGGGGATTGGTGGTAAAGAGAGAAGGAGAGAGACATAGACAAAGGTGCACAGCAACAACAATAGCAACAACTATGCTATTATGTTCGTGACGTGCAACGGTAAGCGTACTGAGTCATTTCTGGTTACTACCTGCTCCTGTGTACAGTGTTTGCTGCTGTAGCTCTGTCCAGTGAACGCTAAAAAGTTACTGTTTCACTCGTTATAGCGGTTATTTACCCGCTTAACATTTAATGTAGACTAGTTTTATCTAAGAAGCTACTTCCTTCTTTTAGCGACTTTTCGCAAAAAAAAAAAAAAAGTGTTTTCACACGCTAGCTTCATTAGCATTCGCCAAGTGCTTGCTCATGGTGGTACTGTTGGGTCTCTGTAAATAATGTTAAGGAGTTTGGTCTAGACCTGCTCTATTTGAAAAGTGTCCTGAGATAACTTCTGTTGAATTGGCACTATACAAATAAAATTGAATCAGATTGAATTAGCATTAACATTTAGCGATGGCTTCTCCCTCTTCCTCTCCTCTGTCCTGCTCAGTGTGTCAGATGTTTAGTTATTCCTCTGCCTCCTTTAGAGGCGAGGCTCAGTGAACAAGATGCACGGCACCACACCAGATTATGATATTGATTTACTTTGTCTTACTGAGACCTGGTTGTCCCACGAGGAGTATGTTAGCCTAAATGAATCCACCCCCCCAGTCATATTAATACTCACATTCCCCGAGGCGGAGTAGCAGCCATATATGATTCGAGCCTTTTAATTGACTCTAAACTAAATTATAAATCATTTGAAAGCCTTGTTCTTCTTGTTGTTTCTCACCCGACCTGGAAAACACTGCAGCCAGTTCTGTTTGTTATAGTGTACCGCGCTCCTGGCCCATACTCTAGTTTAGTCCTTAAATCAGATAAAGTAATTATTGTAGGTGATTTTAATATTCATGTGGATGTTGACAATGACAGCCTTAGTAATGCATTTATCTCATTAATAGACTCAATTGGCTTCTGTCAGAGTGTAAATAAACCAACTCATTGTTTTAATCACACTCTTGACCTCGTTCTATCATATGGCATTGAT